TCAGCTGCCACAGTGGGATCAGCCATCACTATTCACGTTTCTAGGAACGTGAGGCATTCTTGGTGGCCGTAGATTTCCACCAGCCTCTTGGGAGTGTCACCGAAGAGGCTGACCACATCCATGGCAGCGTGCAGGGAATGAAGGCTATGAAGCAACCCCAGACTCCCTGACTTAGCCGCAAAGTGAGCCGGGGTCCAGCCCACATCACTCCGCAGGCAATGTCAAGCCAATGTCATCGTTTTGGATCTTGACCAACTCTGACTTTCTGAAAGGCAGCAAAACAGGTGATGAAGATACACCTGTGCTGGACTTTACACCTTCGGGATGTAGAAGATGGTCACAAACATTTGATTGTAATTCAGTATTTGAGTGCTGAGGGAGCCCAGCAGGGTCCCATCCTCACATTCGAGATGATGAGTTTTGAACCCTCACACAAGGACTTTTTTTCCCTCTGAATGCTTCACTTTAAATGAAACTCCTGCTTATCTGTCAATGCCTTCACCCCAGCCTGCGGTTATTCACTTACAACTAAGGCATTACCCCTGGGAAAATTCTACAGAGATTGCCATGCCCTCAGATGGTGAAAATCAAATTTCCAGCATCTGAGTTGAATTTTGCAGCTCCTGGACTCTGCAGGGAAAGGGGATAAAGATTCCCCTCACTGTGCTTTGCTGAACGCATCCCTCCCTGTGAGCACTGCATAACACAAAAAACTTATGTACCACAAGGTCACTACCACAGGTTATAGATATATGTGCTTATACACAATTTGCTGTGAGTTGAGGTGTTCGCTAACTGGGCAACTGAACTTCATGCTTGTCAGCTATTAACACCTACTAATGTGGATAAGTAAAAGTAACATTAGAAGCCCTGGTGTTGATTTACCTTAATCCTGGTCTGGGAATCAGTGCATCTCGGACATTAACCGGAAGGTTTGGGAACTGATAGCACGTAAGGAGACACCCAGCACATTTACATTCCCGCACCTGCCCTGCTCCGAATAGGAGCAGCACCACAATCCCCAGCAACAACAACTCTATAAAGCTCCTCTTTCCATACGTGACACTCAGCAAACAGCAGCTGCCGACCTGTGCTCAGCCTTGGTGCAACAACTTCATTCTGTGGCTCAGCGTTGCTTCCCACCCTGGAGGATGAAAGATGAAGTTAATGTCACTTCTTACAGAACCACAGCTACGGTCCTCATCACGTTTCAGGCATTTGCTGGCCTGTGGATAAATGCTTTCATCATTTCTATGCTTTCTATTTCTTGGGTCAAAAAGAGAAGCTTTAGCTCTTTTGAGAAGATCTTGCTGTTTCTGGGATGCTGCAGGTTTTTGTATTTGTGCATTTCATGGGTATATACATTTCTTGTATCTATTTATTCCTGGTGCATTTTTGTTCACCCCATACCCCAACTCCTTGCAGCTATTCAAAGCTTTTTTGTCGCTTCCAATCTCTGGGTTTCTGCCTGTCTTTGTGGTTTCTATTGTATAAAAATTGTAAATTTCAGGCACATCTTCTTCATCTACTTGAAAGCAAAAATTGACAAAATTGTGCCATACCTATTCTTGAGTTCAGTGTTTTTATCCCTGATCTTCAGCATCGTTGCCTATGACATGACTGATAAAACACTCTATAACTATTTCAATTCCACCAGGCAAGGAGATTCATGGAAATTGACTATCAGAATGGATGAACATACTATGGCTCTGCTTGTCATCTTCAGCTTTGTATTTTCCTCTGCATTCATGGTAGTGATCTCGTCTGCCCTTCTCCTCCTCTTTTCTCTCTGGAGACACAAAAGCAACATGCAGACAAAATCGGTGAAGAACATCAGCGTGGTTGCTCACATCAAAGCAATGAAAAATATTATGCTCTTCCTCTTCCTTTACACCTCTAACTTTACATGTTTGATCTTGACAGTGATTCATCTCTTGAAGCAGGATGATTTTGTGACATTTTTCATTTTAGTCTTTCAGTATGTTTTTCCAGTTGTCCATTCCCTTAATCTGATTTTGAGCAACCCCAAACTGGAAAAGACGCTGCTGAAAACTCTATCCCGTGTGAAGTGCAAGGTTTGCAGGAGGTAGGAACTGTAAGAAAAGGTGGAGTCCATTAAAAACATTCATGTTTCATTGTAGAAAAATTTATCTCTAATAAAGGACATCTAAACACCATATTAAGTCAGCCCCGCCCCCCAGCCACTGGTTTCTCCAGCAGAGAGTGGATATGACAGTCAGTGCAAGGATAAATGCTGAAGCATTACTGATGCAAGGAAAACAGTCTTAATATTGTGTTTAGGTGTCCTTTATTATTCCTTGTTATTGGGTTATTGAGGTGCATTGCTTGTTCAGCCTTTTTCCTGGATTTTTGTTATATTGTCTGCCTTACCGTGCTTTTGAATTAGAATCAATTGTCGTGAGCCCGATCTATGTGTTGTGATAAATTAATAAATGTTTGTGTTTGGGCCTTGAGAAGGGCGACACCCAGCAAAGCTGTGAAAGAACAAGCTGGGGGTGGCGGGGGGGGGTCCTGAGGGGATCATTGGGCGGTAGTTATTCAGAGGCCTAAGATATACAAGATAAGGGGGGGTTGTCCAGCGCCAGCCCTGAAGGAATGAAGGCAATCAACAAAGGCACTGACTGGAAGGGATATCTGATAAAGACCATCCGGTG